GAGTGTGATAATTTTCTCGAGATAACAAACCATAGCTGAATACAGGTGTTGGCTGGTGCATTTCTTTAAGATAGAAATAATTTTGACATGACTTCAACTAGGGCTTAAATATGACCCCTCTCACCAGGTCCGACCTGGAAGAACAGGGGACTTCTCCATTGCTCCCCCTCCCTCACCCCCAACAACTCAGACATTATCCCCCTCTTTTAAAACTGCACTTAAACCCATCTGGTAAATTCTGTTTGATCCATTAGTGACCCCTTTCTCCTTTTTCATTGTTGTGGTTGTTTTTATACTGTTATTGCTTCTACTGTTTCCAGTTGTTTGTTATTACTTTGTTATACTGATATATGTTTTACTGTTTTTGTCTTTCTTTCTTTTTTAACCATAGTTTATTATTATTATTATTATTGGTTGTGAAGCCTCAATCTGCCTAAAACCAGGCTTATTCTAAGGATTTGTCAAATAGACCTTTTATGTGTTGCTAGATAACAGAGCCTGCTGGGAAATGTAAAATTTAACACATAACTTTTGCTGTTGTATACATCATATACATCATCGCAACATAAAAAGCAACAGTGTGTTCCTGCTGTTCACCTTTTTACCTATCCAGCACAAGAAGATACTTGAATGGGCCTTAGGGGTTCAGTTCTGCCCAAAGCTAGACCAATATGTCTTGTAGAATTGCTCTTAAATTATTCAGCAGCCACAAACAAGTATAGTCCACACAAGTCCACATTTGCTCACATTTCAATGGGGTGCCCTTGTAATAACTGGTCACAGAGTTGGCACCCATCAAAGGGCTCAATTACATCCATGCATTTTCCTCCTCTCGCTGCCTTTTCACTTTGTCTTTCTCTCCATCTTTTTTCAAAGCATACATCGACCTCCTCTCCTTTCTTTCATTCCCCACGGCATTTAGGCCAAAAGGCATGGTTGAGTCATGATTATGATTGCATTGTAATAAACCACAGTATGAAAACTTCTACCTTAAGACAAGTGTGACACATTGGGGTGAAACAAGTGACTAACTGCTAAAGGACACATGGTCACAATCAACATCACTTTTTTACGCACTGGGAAACCTTTTCTACATGCAGGGTAGTCTTATAGAGATCTATAGAACCCCCAAAACATCTGAAATACATGCCATGAGACCATAGCCAAATGTGTTGAAAGTTGATGCATGAGTCCAGCAGAGTGCTGTCTGCTGGAGAAGACAGGTGAATGAATTCGAAAAGTAACAGCTGCACCATAAAAACTTTGAGTCAGGCAATAAGATGTTGTTAGCAAGTAGAAGTGCAGGGTGGCAATTTTTTTGTCGGAATTTGTGAATGACATTAAAATATAACTTGCCACACCAAATGTGTAGCAGTATTAATCAAGTTCAACTACAACCATTTTATGCAACTCTGTACTTGTATTCCATTACATATGTGGAATACAACCTCTGGTCTGGGGGGCTCTGTCACAAGAGTCAGGCATCATAGCCGCAATGTTGTGTTGGACCAGCCTCTCCAGGTTTAGCTCCTAAAAGGGAGAGGCTGGTCTATCCGCTAAGGTCGTACAGACCAAGCAGTGAGGGCAGTCTTCAACACGTCTTGCTACAAAGCTAAGTGGTTGGGCTTTCAGCAAGGATGCATTGAGAGGGAGACGGATCTGTTTACCTGTTCGGTGGGATTTGTTCCCTCATTCCTGCAAGGTCTAAGGGAGAAGAGGCTGTCACACCAACCCTCAAGGTGTGTACAGCAGCTATCTCTCCTGTCACAAGGGGTTTGGTGACAGAACAGTCACTGCAGGGCGTGAGAAGACAGCGACCGGTGTCGTGTGTCTCGGCGGCTCAGTTCTTCCCCCCACCCCACTTAAGGTACAGGGAGACGAGATTCCATCTATTTTGTCTGGTGCATGCACTAATGTACTATAAACCCATTTGATGCACTGGACTGCTGTTCGTCTGTTTCAGTGATAGTGATAGAGCCTGTCTGGCTGGCTTTGCGATTGATTCTCCCAAGCCTGTACACAGGCAGGAACAGACCCACCCTCAGCGGTGTGTGCACACTCGATGTGTGGCAGTGTCTAAGACCCTTTTCAGTGGGGTGTGTGTCGAACAGATCTGCACAACGGCATCATGGCCCTTACCGTGCTCGTTTGTGTGTTTCTCTAGGAAATGTTCTGCTCCTTCTTGGGATCCGTGTTTTGCAAGTGTGACCCAGGAACCGTAAAGTGAGGATCCAGTGACTACTGGGTGTAGAAGGGGAACATACACTGGCAGTGCCTGACGTTCCAGTGAGAAGTCAGGGCAGTCCAGGTGTTAATGGTCAGGCCAAGCCCTTATCGGTCCAGCGACCTTCTCAGGGGTGGCCCACCATTGTGTCACTAAGGTGATGTGGTGGTTGGGGCTGTGGCCGGACTGTGGCCTGGTTAGTGTGGTAGACTTTGTCTTGTCACGGCTAGGGAGAACAGTCCTATTGGTCGGCTACATGCACAATAAACACTTCACTGGGTAAGTGCGTCCGTGTGATTGAAGGAGGTAGTACCCATAGAGTCCAGTAGAGGGCCACGCCTCTGCTTATACAAATAGGGCTACCATATTGTAACCTTTGTTCTCACAGGATAGTACGCTACAAACATATGATGATTTGCATTGCTGTAGATATCCAGTAGTATCCTTACACAACTACAGTTGCATCCTGAATTACGTAGATGACTGTGTTCTGTTCAAGACAAGTGGATCCTTTCTTGTTCATTGCCCATAAAATCCTCCACTTAATTCAGGTATTGGAGAGGGGTAAGTCTCCCTCAACTTTGAGGGGAATGGTGGCAGCAATAAAGGCAGCCCGTGTTGGGCCTTGGAAACTGGCAGAGGATTTTTGTGACCTTATTGCTCAGTTTCTTAAAGGTCCTTGTAGGGTTACTCACTACCACATAAGGTCAGGTATCTTATGAAAATCACCGTTGGTGCTGTCAGCCTTGCAGCATGAGCCACATGAGCCCCTGGAAACAGTTGGGCTGAAATGGCTCATGCTGGGGTGGTACTGCACCCGTTCAAACAGCGACACAGAAATATAAGCCCAGTTAGCCAGATGGTGGTGCTGTAATTAAGGCTCAACAATTGGTTTTTGGAAAGGGCAGCCCCTCACTCATTCAAATCAACCACTAAGGGGTGCTACAAATGCGAAAAAAGGCGTAACACAAATCAGGCAATAAATCAGAATTTTTTTGTCCAGTCATTACAAAACTCACAGGATATGTTTCATAACAAAGGTGAACCACATTTGTTAAACTATTTTGAAATCTCTACGGTGTAAAAAGGTTTGAAACCTGCAAACCGCCACCTGCAGCTATATTCTTTATCATGTATCATGTTTATCATGTTATTGTGTTAATTATTATTATGTTATTAATCCTTCATTTATTCAGTTATTAAACATTTATCCATTAATGTCCTCATTTATCAGTAAGACCTCATCTGGGTTTTCTTTTAAGCACATGATAAAGGTCAATCTATTGAAAAGAATTAAATCTTTAGGAGACTCATCAAGTTATTAATTTGGTTTATTTTGTTTTCCTTGTTTCACGGTGGTGCCCCATTCAACGAGTTTAATTATTTTTTATTGATCCCCTACAATTCATATATTTATTTTGTGGAGGGATTCTGTTTCCCTCTATCTCTCATTGCATTAGTTCAACAGAGACATCAAACAAACGCAACAATAAATCAATTCAAGACACGTTCCTCTGACTGACCTGCATTAAAGCTTCAACCAAAGTTTTACTGTGCTGTAGCTTTATAGACAAGAGTTGTAAAGCAACGTTTCACTGTTACAGACAACTGGGTGAAGGAAATATTTCTGCTGTGAAGATAATGACACAGAAGTATCCAGAAATCTGGACATCCTGGTTTAATTAGAAGGTCTAGTCAGCTTCCTGTGATAACACTTGTTCTGCCATTTCCCTCTTACTAAATGAGACACTCTAATGGTACTGGCCCCAATAGCTGCTCGTTTACGTCAACCATCTCTATTAGACTAAAAAGGTTCTGCTGTGTGTGCGTGTAAATGTCACCTTGTTCCGATCCCGACAAAACAAAGGATATATAGCAGGACAGAGACAGAGAGAGATAGATCGCTCTCTATTGGTTGTCATCTTTATCATTCCCCACTGTGTCAATCATCATTACACACACACGCTAAGGCTACCGTTTCACAACATTGAACCATTTCACTAACAGGTGATTTGTCTTGTTCAGAAACAAATGCCCCAAATACAGTATGAATGAGTGTGTTTTGACAAATTTGGTAAACAGTCTTTGTCATAAGAATCACGAACAACATGCTCATAACACCCACAATGTAAGCAACCCAAGATGAAGTAGCATTACAGTATATCATTATCTTTAACAAAGACAAATGTAGAACTTTTACATACGTTTTAACTGTATCTCTATCTAAGGATAGGTTCAAAGTTTTTCACACTCAGGTACCCATATGTACTATACAGTTTGCTTTTTGTCTTTTTAGTACAAAGTTCCCTATTTGTGATAGTGTGCCCCCACTAAAACTAAGCATAGAAGCACTGTCAGAGGAGGAGGAGGTTTAGTGTTTGAGGGAGCTGCCACAGCAAACAGTGTTGGTATGAGTGTAATTAGCAGTGTGAGTGACTCCTGGCCACTGCCCTCCCCAGTGAAGTGTTTCCCCTACATATTAACAAAACAAAAATAAATCTGGACCTCACTAAACTCATTTCTAAACCCTGGTTATGGCCACGGTTGTAATACATTAATTGTGAATTGTCCCCATAAATAATTGCACATACATGAATATTTCTATATACATATTTGCATGATACATCAAATTCATTGATATTAATTCCATTTGATACAGTTTCCTTTTGAAATTTCAGTCATCCACTAGATGATAACACATTCTTTCTTATGACGAAATGTGCTTAGTTTGAGAAACTGTTATGCGTGTCAAAAGGATCCAGGAGCAGAAACAGGATTAGGATGAAATAACAGAGGATTTATTGAAAGAACAATGGTAGTAGATTCCAGTGCGTGTTGGCAGAGAGCAGGCAGGCAAGCAGATCCACAATTTCAGAAACAGACGGACGAGCAGGGCTTTCTCTGAGCGGTGATCCCCTGGGAGAAAAAACACATGTTAGACAAAGGTACTACGAGCAGAGAAAAACACTAAGCAGAGCGTTGGCCTGACAAGTAGTTTACCTCTTGGGTGAACGGCTGATCTGGCAAATACTGAAGAGCAGAGCCGGGTATAAATCAGCGGTGGTGATGAGTAGATGAACTCCAGGTGTGTGGAAAACTCCAGGGACTCTTGCTGGAAGACACCTGCCCGACAGTGTGTTGCCACGCCCATAACCAGAGACAGACAGCAGACAAACAGACACACGGAAAGGAGAAAAAACAGGACACAATATCTGTTCATAGGTCTCTCATGCTTGAGGCCTGTAACATATGTGTATATGTCTGAAGGTCGGTTTGTCTTTCTAGTTTAGTTTGCTAAGTTAACTAAGTTGTAGTTTTTTGTTTCCTCCTCTTGGTTTAGTGTGCTGTTTATTTTCATAATGGTATCTGTGTGTTCGGTGTTTGTAATCAGTGGTTGGACGTCTTGGGTTGGAGGACAGATGACAGAAATGCGTCGCATTTTCACCTGCAGCCTTCTTATACACTAAGGCTACGTTCACACTGCAGGCCTTAATGCTCAATTCCAATTTTTTAGTTTGACCCGCATGCGCAGAAGAATAACACATCATACACAGCACGCTGTTGCAGGCTACAGAAGTAAAGAAGGAGCAACAGAGGTTAGCTCCGGTTAGCCCGCGGGAGACTGTGTGTGTTCATAACTTTCTGTTCTTTTTGTTACGATTTATGGCACTGTACAACGCAACTGCCCCACAACTCACTCCCTCTGTCTCTCTCTCTCTCTCTACTGCGTCCACTCGGACAAGTAGCATGTACGTAACTCAGAAGAGAGCTCCGGTCCGGTGGATTTCAGGTGTAAGAAAGGGAATTTGTGAGCAAATGATAGCGAGGTAGAGAAGGAAGAGAGCCACATATTTGATAAAGGCTTTTTGTGGAGCTTTTTCATTCAGCGCGGCTCCGTCTACAGCAGAACAGCTGCTTTACAGTGACGTCAAAGTAGCATTAAATGAGACCTGAGTGTCCAGACTGAGGTCGCATTTAAAAAGATCCGATCTGTATCGGATTTGGACCACATATGGAAGTGGCCCAGTTCCGAACTGGAAAAGATCAGATTCCATGTGACTTGGCCTGTTCACACTGTCATAAAAAGCTACGATCTGAGTCACATATGGGCAAAAAAATCGGATTTGTGTCACCTGCAACACGCATTTTACTGACGGCTGTTTCACTGATGCAACGGCACAAAAAATGGTATCAGAGGGCTGAAACTGAGGAGCGATGCAAGTGTTGCCGAAACGGTGAGTTGTGCACTGTGAAATGTTTCAAATGACTTATTCACACTAGCAAACTAACGTTAGTTGACAAAGTAAAAATGTTCTTTAACATGTGACGTGTTGTGTGTGTGCAAATGACTATTATATCCTAATAATTAAGTAAGTAGGTAATTTTAATTCATGAGGCAGGTTTGAATCCAGCCATGGGATTCTGTGTGCATGTTCTACCTGTTTGGTAAAACTTTAAATAAATATTTTTGAAGTGTGTGAATAAATCCAAAATTGTAACCCTAACCCTGGGTCGTCAGTGCGCATGTGTGAGCGTAGCGTGTATGTGTGCTGTGCCATTGAAGGAACGCTTGCTGAAGAGACCGAGACCCAGCTCGAGACCCAGCTTCACTGGTGTTGTGCCGAGTTGTCCGCACCTCGCAGGACTTTCGGATAATTTATCACCGTTGATGATTCCACATAAAGAATATTTTATCGTTTTTAAATAGCCAGCTACTTGAAATAGACCCGCGAGGAACCACGTCGTGCATGCAGTTGTCGGCAGCAGTAATGCACGTAAAACTCTGCAGAAGACCGGTGAATGACAGGCAAGAGAGAGAGAAAAGGGTCTTCAAAAAGCCTCACTTTAGCTGGAAATTTACAGTGTAAGTTGAATGAATAGAAAGTGCAGCTCTACAGCTTCTCAAGATTAAAGCGGAGCTACCATGTGTAACCCCCCCCGCTCACAATCGCTGCGCACAAAAAACACGTGATCAGTCGACTACAGGCAGGACTTGACGATAATGATTCGACTATGTAAATCCATAGTCGGGGACAGCCATAGAAATCTCTTTTCACTTTCGTCTCCTCAATTTGTGTGTGTTTCCAAAACGTCTCTGGTGAATCTCATAGACTCGACTCACAAGCATCGGAATGCACAGATTTGATTGGCTGAGCAGCGTCACATGAGACGATTGGAACACATGCGATTGGTCTGTGAGTTTCCTGGGCTGCTAAACCAGTACAGTAAATGCTAGAAAAGTTGCGTACATGTTTGAGAGTCCCGCCCTTAAGACATCCGTATGCCAATATTAGGTGCGTACGTCTTCATGCAGCGCTGCGCAGCACTGACTTAACATGATGCATGCAGGACTTAAAAATAAGGCATGCTGGTTAGAAATTTTGCTTTTCTCCAGCTGCACGAAGTTAGAGCCATTTTCTTTGCAAATGCTGCGTCATTGATCTCAGCTCACAATAAGCTCACACAGTCAGAATGTGTCTGATTTAAAGGCGCTGTTTTATACCCCATCCCTGCAGTCACCTGCAGCTCACATTAGATTATCAAGTCAGCGAAAATCAGCCGCAGTCATCTCGAATGCACCTATTCACTCAGTGTCATAGCCTACGTACTGACCTGGGATGTGGGAAGCTCAGGTGAGCTGGTGCTGGGCTGGAAACCAGGGTGAGCCAATACATGAACTGCATTATAACTAGACAATGCAACCATCCTTTGTTAATTATGTCAATGACAGCACTGTTGTTGGAGTAGATGGCGATGATCTTCTGGACCATTCATTGACCCCCAAAGAATGGCTTCTATGGTGACTGGGTACATTTTGAAGATTGTGGAGAAAGGGGTGAAAGATGGAAATTTGTCTGCCATTTGGCTGAGAACCAACTGCCGCTGTAGAAGCAGCTAAAAGTCAATGGAAGGGGCTTCATTTGTGAACGGCTGCATGTCTTCTGGCTTGGTGACATGGTTGTCGTAAAAGTACAAGATCACATTCCAGGAAGAGTGGAACTGGTGCCACAGTTTTAACTCCATCCTACATGCTTCAGTCAAGTTACAGAGACACAGAGCGTCCCCATAACCATACTAATTTACTCTCACTCCTCACACACTGTGGGAGAGGAGAAGGAGAGATGGTGACAGAGATTACTCTGAGGAGCATGCGGACGAACAATATTTTAGACTTAGTATTTCTCACTTGGTCTGAATAACTCACTAGATCTGTTGCTAGGCATAATATTTCCAAACTTAAAAACGCGTTACACTACCATCCTTTCTAAATTCTACACCCTTGCTCCATGGACTATTTCACTTAACTTGTACTCTGCTTTTATAGAAAAAGGATAAAGCAATGTGTTAGAGGACATGAGGTCCAGCAAATGATGACCAGAACTACAAAATTGTAAAGGGACAGAACATTCCTTTAAAGCTAGGTAATTTCAAACTTTGTAAGGTATGTGAGGAGCTGCTGATTCCCTGGACATATAACGCCTGTCAGCCAGACAGGAAAGTTAATGTGTTTGTGACACTAGAGGGGCTTAAAACCATCCTCCCACTTCTTTATCTGGCCTATCTCCATTTGGTGTATTACACTACTGTTCACTGATACTTACCTTGCTCGGGGCGTGGGCCAGCAGGCCAATAACACCTGGACAATTCCTCACACCCAGCTCAGATAGATCTCCTGAATGGGGAAAAGTCAGTGAATCAATGTCAGCCCTGAAGCATCTGATTGTTTGAGCAGGATTAACAGCCCACAGGCTGCTATTTGTGTGTGAGAAGAAGCAATAGGGCTTGTGGCCTGGATGGGGACCAAGACTGTTGATTGCAGGTCATCTTTCTTATCAGCTGCTGAGTGCCTGGATGTGAGTATGAGTAGTGGAGAGCTATATGTCAATGTGTCTGCATGTGTGCGTGTTTTCATGAATGTGTGTACGGAGGCAAATTTCTCAATCAGTTGTCAGCCATTTTTGGTTACTGATTAAATAAACATGATTAAATTATTTGGATCATTGCCCCCATGACAAAAGAATATTTGCTCAATTTCTCTTTATAATTAATTTTTTGTTTTTGTTTTATAATATCCTATATTATTGTCATTACTATGAAGCAATATAGTCTTTAACTTATTTTCACTTTAAATTACTTTCTTTTGCATGACAGCTTGCACTGTCTGTTACGCAATGCACCAAAACATACAATGTCAAAAACTCCAGTTACTTACAGCACATCTGTCATTTGTCTTAAGAGGACATTAAAATGACAGCATTTAAATAAACCATTTTCAGTGAGACGATAAAAGTTTAAAGTTGCCAGCACCATCTCACAATAATAATTTCTAAAACCCCTATCACCTGCTGCTGGAAATCTTACCCTGCCCATATCTCAACCTTTTCCTACACTATATGAACATGGCAGCTACTCCAGTTTGATAGATGAAATAAAAAGACAGTATGATTGTGTCAGTATATTATTCATTTCAAGACGACCCCTTTTTGTGCTTTATTGTGTGATATCACTTTCAGAGGTTCAGGTGACGTTTACAGCAGTACAGATTTATGGGGGTGTTGGGGGGGGTTGAGCTGAAAATGGGTCCTTTTATGATGGTGCCACACCAGTCAGAACTGTCTGCTCTGAGTTAAAGATCAAATATGGCCAAATTACACAGTCCAGCAAACTGTAACCATAGCCACAGGAGTGTCCATTTTGAGCAGATCTGAGTGGTATCTGTGGTAATTATTGTACTTTTAAGTAACAAACAGCTGCTCTGACTCAGTGATATTTAGAAGAGACATAATATTTATTAATAAATGGTTGTGGGTACGGCAGCTGCAGGGGATTTCTGAATATTTGCTCAAAGCCAAAAAACAGTGTGACTTCAGTGTATTAATTATTAACTGGATCAATAAAAAAAAAATATGATGAAAGTCTGGCAACACGGCTGAGGTGCCAACACAGAGAGCTCCTGCATGCTGATGTTTTGAAAAAGTAATGTGTACCATCTTCACCATCTTTAGTCTTAGCATGCTAATATATGCTAATTAGAAGAAAACACCCAAATCTACTGGAAAGTCCAGTAGATTTTGAGATATTTCACTGAACCAAATTTTATGTTAATCCATAGAAGAAT